TTAGCGTTAGCTTAGATTTACCGTTGCTACTGACGCTGCTTTCCTAGGGGCTCCAACTCCTAGTTAGGGTCGCACTGGGATCATTTTTTGTTTAAACATAGTCCAGAAATATTATGAGGACGATGTTTCACTAGTTTTGAATATTTGGGGAGGTATGTTTTTAGGTTTTTTTATTTTTCGCCCAAAATCCCCCTGTAGGGGGACACGCCCGACTGAAAGCCAGCTCGGGGGGGGAGATCAGTTCCAGAGGGACCTCGTGCAGGCCCTCGTTCTCAAGGGTGCCCTCGAGAGTGCGAAGTTATTCGCTCTTCGCGCTTCGCTGTTCGGCTCCGATTCCTCCTCATCCTCCTCTTCTCCCCTGGGAGGCGGCGCGAGAGCGCGAAGTTAGTCGCACTTCGGGCTTCGCGCAGCGCGAAGCGCGAAGTTGGGAACCTTTGGAGAGTGGTCAGACAGTTCTCATTTGATATAGGTTCTGTTGACTCTCCGCGTTTCGCTGCCCGCCGCCGCTCGGCGATCTGCACCATCGGATCCATACGGGCATCGATACCACGAACCGCAGCAAACCGTAGCATGCCGCAGGCGCACGTCTCTCCCCCATGAGGCGCGATGTGGCCACGGCGAGGTCCCACGGCGGCCGCATTTCAGACGAGGGCAGAAAAGCAGAAGGGCCCAGAGCATGCCAGGCGATGCGATGAGATTGTCATTCGCGAGCTCCGGGGAGGCGGCCACAGCTCGGGCCGACAGGGGTGCCACGTCAGTCTTGCGGCGGGGGCACTCGTTAATGAATGTGCCTGGGAGGCTGCAAACCCTGCAGGATTCCTTATCTGATGAGGGTGGCGGTGGTATCCATGGCCGATCCACGATTGGAGTTCGACAGGCTTCTGGACCCTGGATCCCTTCTCGAATGGCTCCCTTGTCCACTGCGACCACCGTACCCAGTGACCTTCTGCACCTCCCGCCACCGTACGGGAGGAGGAGGAGGAGGAGGAGGAGGAGGAGGAGGAGGGGCATCTTCCCTTGTCTTTGCGCGTGGGCCTCTCGAAGAGGTCGCCCGGGCGCCCCGAGGGGGTCTCCCGGGCGCCCCGCGAGGGTCTCTCCGTGGAAGCCTCTGCGGACGCTCTGGGGGGCAATCCTTGGGGGGGGGGCGCCAGGGAACCCGTCGAGCCTCCTCCTCCTCCTCCTCCTCCTCCTCCTCCTCCTCCTCCTCCCGTCTTGGACGCCTCTCGGGCCCCTCTTGGGGGCTTCAGGCGTGAGGGCCTCCCCGTGAAGCCTCTGCGGGCGCTCTCCGGGACAGTCTCTGGTGGAGGGGGGGGAAGGGGGTCCCCGGGGGACCCTCCGAGCTCGACCTGGGCGTCTCTCTCAGGCCCCCTCCTGGGGGCTTCGGGGCCGTCCAGGGGCTCTATTGGGAGGAGCCCCTGGGCCGTCCTGGACGCTCTTGCAGGCCAGGAGGACGAGAGTGCGCAAGTCTCGGGAGCCTTGAGACGGGGGTCAATGCAAACGGGGGTCAGCCAGGGCACCGGATCCTGCAGGATCCTGCGAAGACCCTCTTTGGCTGACCCGGGTGTCAGCGAGCCGCTCGTGGCCGCGAGGCGGCCGCGAATATATTGGCTGACCCGGTGTCTGCGAAGACCTGCGGTGCAGTTTTTGTTCCTGCGTTGCAGTGGTGTTTGGTTTCCTGCTGACCCGGGTCTGGATTGACCCGGGTCAGAAGATCCCCGATGGTTGATGAGGTCTCGTGGGGAGCCTTTCCTGGGCGGGTTGGGAGGCAGTTTTGAGGCCTCTTGAGGGCCTCTTGAGGGCCTCTTGGGTGCCCTTTCGGGCCCTCTCGGAGCTCCCTGGGAGCCTCTTGGGTGCCCTTTTAAAACGACGCGAAGATCGGGACAACATCGGATCGGGATAACTCGAAATCTCTGAGAATCGGCGGGTTTGGAGGATGTATTGGGCGCCGCGGCCGCTCCAGAGCGTTCCGGAACGCTCTGAGAGCGCTCCGGAACGCTCTGGAGCGATTTATCCCGGTCCTAGCCCTGTTTTACCTTTCGGGCCCTCTCGGAGCTCCCGGGTCTGGAGTGACCCAGGTCAGGAGATCCCCGATGTGAGCGCTCAGGGCGTGTTCAGATGCCCTGGGCTCCGGAGGCGGCCCGCGGGCCCCCCCACGGCGGCCCCAAACAAGACACTTCCCGTGGGCCCCCGCGGCGGGCCCCCACGGCCTCCCCAGCAGAAGCAGATCTGGAAGCTTCTCCTCCTCCTCCTCCTCCTCCTCCCCCTCCTCCTCCTCCTCCTCCTCCTCCTCCTCCTCCTCCTCCTCCTCCTCCTCCTCCTCCTCCTCCTCCTCCTCCTCCTCCTCCTCCTCCTCCTCCTCCTCCTCCTCCTCCTCTCCTCCTCCTCCCCCTCCTCCTCCTCCTCCTCTTCCTCCTCCTCCTCCTCTCCCTCCTCCCCCTCCTCCTCCTCCTCCTCCTCCTCCTTCTCCTCCTCCTCCTCCTCCTCCTCCTCCTCCTCGAGTCCCGACAGCGTGCCGACGGCCGCGTGGGCAATCACGCGCCAAGCCCCGAGAGCGCACAGGAGCGCCTGGAAGCGCTCAGGTACTCAGAGATCCCAGAATGGTCGAACGCGGGAAGAGATTCTGACATTCCGCGCAGTGCCTGCGGCACGGTGACGGGCAGTGCGTCTGTGTCGCGTCGTAGCTCCGCCCAGGACATCGCTACAGCTGCTGCCTTTGGATCATTGCTCTCTTCAGAGCTTGTTCGGGGTAGCTGGAGAGCGAGAGAGTCTCGACTGGGCCGCATGGAGACGTGTGGGTGCGACGGCAGATCAAGTTGTCCTACTAGCCCCATGATCCGTCTCGCGTGCGAATGCGTTCTGCGCCTGCCAGACTGTCCATTTGTTTGGTACACGCCATTCGGCAGCAAAACGCCACGCCTAGCTTGTTCCGAGTGCCAGTAGCGCAGGGAATTCATATTGGCATCGTGGTTGGAGTTGGGAGCGGTGATGGTGCCAGCAGGGAAAGTATTGGAGGCGGCTGAGGGAGGCCACACACGTTGATTTCCATTTGGACGCTGGAGTACCCAGGCTTCGGGAGTGGGGGGGGGGGGCGCACGCGCGCTGGGCCTCTTTTATTGTTGCATGCGGTATGACTTGTGTCTGCACGACGCGTGGCTCAAGAATGACCACGGTTGCCGACGTCAGCCTTTTTCTCGCATGGTGGCAATAAAGAGGCGTTGCATTATGACAGCAAGTCCAAACTTCCGTCTCGGTATGTTGATGGTTCTAATGAGGATGTTTGTCGGTTGTGTTGGGTAGTTGGTTTTTACCAACGCGTTGCGCCCTCCAGTGGACGCAGCGCTGCGTCGTCTGGCATCTCTTGGGCATTCGGACCCTCGGTGAACCCGTCGGTTACGGAATGGGCTTGGGGGTTCAGGACCAGATTGCGTTTGGTCCATATTAGGCGGGCACATGTGACCAACGATTGCCTGCAAGTGGGCTTTACGTGAGGCAACGACCCCACTAAGCATCTCCCTTATGCCGAAGTTCCATCTACTCCCTGGGGCCCGAGTCGAGAGGCGCTTGCGGTGATTGGGGGTGCTTGCGCGGTCGAACTCCTCCCAAATTGCAGCGAGCGAAGCGAACGAACGCAATCCGATTCCACCGAAGTGAAGGATGAGTGAAAAGGGGCAGACACATGGGAACGAACACTGACATGAGCATACAAACTCGGAGGTCCTCGCGAATTTCTCGGATCGGCGCTGGAGCCCCCTCCCTGGCGCGCGGAGCGCGTCAGGGGCGGAGCCGGAGGCGCCGCCAGGAGGGTCCACCGCCGATCCGAGCAACCCGCGCGGACCTCTGAGTTGTTATGTTTATGTCACTTTTTGTTCCCCTATTCAACGCGATGCGTGCTTCGTCCGCTCAAGATCGGCTCCCAAACCCCATGGGGTCCATCTGGTGCTGCTTGTCGCCCCCAGACGTGCTTGGGTCCATCTGGTGCTGTGTGCTGAGTTGTATTGTTTATGTCGTCGTTCGTCCCCCGAAGGACGGCACGGCGGATGGACCCCTGAGCGCCCTCGATGGCGCTCGCGCCCCTGGAAGGGCGATAGCCGAGGCACGGAGGAGGGGCCGGCTGCCGCAGGGAGGAGGGCGCGCGCCAGGCCGCAGCTGCCCGAGACGGCGCTGGTCGTGACCGACGACGCCGCGGGGCACCGCTCGCCGCGCGGGGTGCACGGAGCAGGGCTGGACCGAAACGGTGTCTTGGCGATTTCCTGGGCCGTGTTCGTTTCGACTTCGTTTGGCGGCAAGGGCGGACTGAAGACAAAAAACGAGGGAAAGCGAAAACGAAAACGACAACGAGGATGATAGCAAACGAGGGAAAGCGAAGACGAGGGAAAACGAAAACGAAGACAAAACAAAACCGTTTAGGTTCAACCCTGGCAAGGAGGATGACAGCATTGGCGGGAGGGGGGGGGGGTAAGGAGCTGGTCTCAAGAGCACGCCTTGTGCGCGCACGTTCGGGTCGCGCGGCTGGTCTCGCGGACGGGGGGGAGGTTGTGTTCATGTACGCGGTTGGGCGCGCCCGCCTTGTGTGGGCGTTCCCGAGGAGGAGAAGAGGAGACGGAGTATTGTCGAGCTCCGGCCAACCATGGTTGTGTCGAACGGCTTACAATCGGGAACTTGTGGATGGCGCGTCGCGCCGCCGTCTCTAGCCCACCACCTTTCGGCTCGACACGCTGACCACTTCCCAGTTCCCGAGCGTCAGCGACCCGAGCTTTCCCTAACCTCCCGCCTGGTGGAGCGGAGCGACACGCTATGCACTCGAAAGGCAGGGCGTGTCTCCAGGGCCGCCGCGGCGACACGCTATGCAAAAGTATTTGAATGTATTGAAGTGTGGCTACTCGTGGCTTTCGTCGACAGGCTTACATGGCTCATCCTGGGCGTGGTGTCCCCCCCACTCACCAGGTATAGACGAGCAGGTCGAGGGCGCGCAGGGAGAGAGCGACGGGAATGACAAGGAGGTGGAGGGTGAAGACGCATCTCCAAATGTCGGAGGTTGGGGGGTGAGACCGCAGTGGAACGGAGACCCCCAACCGGGAAATCGTTTCGTTTCGTTCATGTCGTGCGTGCGGGCGAGACGAAGGTGCGTGGGCGCGCGAGAGGAATGAACCCGCCGTTGCCAGGTCGAAGTCAATGAGACAAATGCTTCTCCTCCGTCCGTCCGTCCCGCCGTCCGTCCGGCGGTGTCCCGCGGTGTCCTGTGGTGTCCTGTGGTGTCCCGTGATATCCCGTGGTGTCCCGTTGAGTGCGATCGATAGTGAGATCGATATTGAGATCGATATTGAGATCGATGTGGTGCCCCGAGGTGTCCCGTGGTGTCCAAAAAAGTGAGCTCGATAGTGAGATCGATGGTGAGATCGACAGGTGTCCCGTGGTGTCCTGTGGTGTCCCGTGGTGTCCCGCTGAGTGAGATCGATAGTGAGATCGATAGTGAGATCGATACTGAGATTGATGTGGTGCCCCGAGGTGTCCCGTGGTGCCCCAAAAAGTGAGATCGATAGTGAGATCGATTTTGAGATTGACAGGTGTCCCGTGGTGGTCCGTGGTGTCCCGTTGAGTGAGATCGATCGTGAGATCGATAGTGAGATCGATGTGTTGTCCCGAGGTGTCCTATGGTGTCCCGTGGTGTCCCGTGGTGTCCTATGGTGTCCCTTTGAGTGAGATCGAGAGGTGTCCCGCGGCATCCCGTGGTGTCCCGTGGTGGTCCGTGGTGTCCCGTTGAGTGAGATCGATAGTGAGATTGATAGTGAGATCGACAAGTGTCTCGATGGGTCTCGCGGTGTCCCGTTGAGTGAGATCGATAGTGAGGTCGATTGAGTCAGATGTCGGTTCCCCCCCCTCCCCCCCCACACAACCTGCTTATCACCCGAAGGGTGGTCGTATAGGCATTTAGTAGGAGACAAACTTACCGTTTGACATTCAGACTGGCTTTGTGATCTTCGGACTGGCGCATGCTTCGGCTGGAAGACGAGAAGTGGCTGCATTATGTGAGTTGCTGAGGGGTGACATGGTCGGGCGGGCTGCCTTCGGCCCAGCCCGCTGGAGAGGCACACTCCCTTCAGCTGAAGCCCGCGCCTGGCCTTCTTCCTCCTTCTCCTCCTCCTCCTCCTCCTCCTCCTCCTCCTCCTCCCCCTCCTCCCCCTCCTCCTCCTCCTCCTCCCCCTCCTCCTCTTCCTCAACGCACCCACCCACATCGAAGACCGTCCACTGCTTGAGAATTAGATGTGCGCTAAGGGGACGCGCTCCCTGGGGAGCCAGAGGGGGTGCTCCCCAACCGCCGCCGAAAAGGAACGCGAATGGCGCAGTTCCATCAAACATGTTCCGTGTCTTCGAAGGTGAGCAGATGGGCCCATGTCATCCTCCCAGCTGAGGTTGTAGACAGCGAACTGGTGGCCAGTGCCTACAACTACAAGGAAAGACGGCAACCTGGCGGACGCTATTCCGAAGCAGTGCTTGCACTCGGAGGCTGTTGACCTGCGCTTCGAGGAACAGGTCTTGCCTCCTCCACATGTCCGGGTGGGCGGTTGGCCCGTGTGGCGCTCGCCCACGGGCGGTTGGACCGCTATGGCCTGTCTCCTGCCCTCGCCCATGGGTGTTTGGACCGCTGAGGCCCTGCATCCTGCACTGGCCCCGAGGTGTTTGGACCACCAAGGCTCGTCCGCCGCCCGCGCCGGTGGGTGCTTGGACCGCCATGGTCGCCATGGCTCTGCGTCCCGCGCTCGCCCGTGGAAGCTTGGACTGATCTGTTCCTGTGCCCCGCGTTCGCCCGTGGGTGCTCGAGCCGCTGTGGCTTGTGTCCCGCCCTCGCCCACTGGCGCATGGAGCGCTCCTGCCCCCATGCCCTGCCATCTCCGTGGGTGTCCGGACCGTTCAGGCCTCAGCGGAAGGGGGGGGCGAGGTGGCGGATGGCGGGGCGATCCCCGAGGGACGCGCGCGGTGAAGAGGGGGGGGGCGCCTTTTCTCTGGAAAACGGCGGAAGCCCAGCCAGGCGCTCCAGGCATTCCAGCACGTCCCCGCGGCGGCGAGGGGCCCTGCGGCCGCGGGCGAGGCCCCCCCCTCCCTGGCGGCGCCTGCGAGGCAGCCGGCCTGGACGTGCCTGGCGTGCAACGGCAGCGAGTCCTGCGGCTCCTGGCACATGCTCGTGGCGCTCCTCGCAGAAGAGCGGGCCCGGCGCCCCGCTGAGTCTGCAGCTCTGCGTGATGCAGTCGGACCGAGGTATTTCTGTAAGGCCGGGATCGGCTCGGGGAGGCTGCAGTGGGAACCCATGCCAACAGAACACCCTGTCTGCCTCCAGGGTGCCCCGGGTTGTTTGGGGTCCGCTGGTGTTGCGATGGGAAGCGTGACGTTCCCACACCAAATATCAATGGACGTCCTGGTGTCTCAGGGCTGGGTTTCTTGCGGCAGGTTTCTTGTGGTCGAGCTCCTACTGTACCACAGTGTTTTTCGTGCTTGTTGGATGGTCTTTTGCACCCAGGGGAGGAAACCCTTCGATGTTCTGCTTGTTTTGGCCAGCGGAGGGTCTGGTGTGCGTGAGGGATGTTCTTCTGGCCTAGGTCCGACTGTAGGCGGGCGAGGGTAGACAACCCATGGGAGAGGGCATCACGGGGCATTGGTGTTCGAGCATCGTCGAGCAGCTGGGCGAGTGGCCCCATGGAAGCGTGCAGCAACCCCACCCCGGATTGCCGCGGCTGGATTGTGGATCAGGGGCGCAGTTGGAACGATTGTAGGCCGAGCATTTGCCGAGCCATGTTCCTGAACAGTCTCACAGGAGGAACATGGTGGGTCTTTGGGGGCCTCTTGCGTGCATTCGAATGCCCCTTTGTGAGGCTGTCTTGGGGGCCTCGAGACCCCCTCTTGTGAGCCTCGAGGGCCGTGCTGAGGTCCTCTTGGGTACATCTTGGGCGCTTTGGGCACCCTTGAGACACCAAACGCGGCAATTGTGAAGTTCTACAACCCAAAGATTATCTGAACACTCAGAAGGGGGAAAAAAAAAGACAATTAATCGTCGAGTCCCCAGAAAACATGGGAAAATATGGGAAGTGGGGGGAAGACACAAACCCAGACAATACGGGAAATGATTTGGGAATCCCGTCATTTGTATGTATTTGTTTGTATGTGTGTGTGTGTGTGTCTGTGTGTGTGTGCGTGCGTGCGTGCGTGCGTGCGTGCGTGCGTGCGT